GGCTGGGTTTTGCTTTAATGCGAAACGTAATTAACCCGGAAAAAAGAGCCGGCCGACTGAAACGGAGGTGGGGGCCAGGGGAGGGGGAGCGAGAGGTGGCGAGCGTGTGGCAGCCCGGGGAGGACCCTGCGGGCCGGAGACGCGGTCGGTCCCCAGCCCGATGTAACCGGTCCCGCCCGAGCCCCGGCCCCTGCGCGGCGGGGTAAGTCGGGCGCACTCGGGGGCCTCGGGGTGCAGGCTTGGGGTGCCGGGGGTGACCGGGCGGCGGGGAGGCGGCCGAGGGAGGGCTAGGTGGGCGCTGCCCCGGTGGGGCTGGGTGCGCTGTCCTAGTGGCCGTCGCCAAACGGGGAGGTCCCCGCTGCCCCCCGCTGGCCTTTTCGAGCCCCCGGGAAAGCGCAGCGGGCTGCCCCTGCCTCCAGCCCCCTGGAGCGTCCCGGGAAGCGGGGTGGGGGCGCGCGGGGTTCTGCTGAGCAGCGTTTTCTACGTGCCGCCGCGAAACTTCTCTGCGGGTGCTGGCGCTGGGCACCGGCCGCGCCACACTGCCGAGCTGCGGGGAGGAGGCGAGCGGAGGACGCCCCGGGCGAGTCCCTTGGGCTCAGATTGGGCCTCGGAGACTTCTCTTTCTCAAGGACTCTTCCTCCCTCCCCCCTCCCTTATTAAATGACCGGCCTGGAATATTCCTTGGAGAGCCCGCCTCCCTCCCTCCCCCCGCCCTCCTTTCCTCTGGGACCAGAGTCTTGAGATGCATCGCCTGGGAACTAGACGGTGGTTAGGGGTCTACTTGTTATTGTCTAAACTCGTGTCTGGAGTACCAGGTTAGGGGGTTAATCTGGAGAAAGCGGTCCTAAAATGCAGGTTAGGGTCAGGTTAGGAAAGACCCTTCGTAAAAGAGGGGAGAGCGTTCATGCGTCCCTCTTTCCACCCCCTCTTTCCTCCTCTTCTCCTTCCTCCTCTCTTGCCGCCACCCCCCCTTCACCTCCACCTTACTTCTCGTTTCTGCTCCAGACCTAAAGGGGTTATTTGAAGGGGAGGTAGAAAAGAACGGGAAAGAACTAGAGGCCTGGTGGGACGGAAAAGTGTGCTGAGTTCAGAGGGGGCGGCGCGGCCGTGCCAGCCTGGGAGTCCCTTCCCCCGCGGACTTCACATCTCCCTCAGGCCAGCCCTGCCCCCATCCTTTCCCTTCAAGATCAGGCTTTCTTCCTTTGCTTGGGTTCAAGATGCGTTTTGCCCTTCCAACACCCCCCTCCCCCCTTCTTTCTGTTGGACTCCGAATGGGGTTTTACCGAGTGAGAGTTCACTGCAGAGAAAAGGGCTTTACCCAGAACCAGCTGTGGCTGGCGAGGCACTTCTAGGCAGCCCCGCGGTGGTTGCCCTCCTGGCTAAGTTTCAGTACTGTGCTAATAATGTCCTTAGTGTGGCTGATCAGACCCCACTTTTTCGTTTTGGCGGCAAAGCCTCCAGAAATCAGTAAAGTGAAGGTCTTGAAAGAATAGAAGGCTTCATTTTTAAAAAAAATTTTATTTCAGATGCATTTATTATACTGATTGAGTCATAGGGACTTGAAAGGTAGCGATGAACTCCAACCCAGCCCCTGTCTTCAGGAGGCCTGTATCCTGGTGGAGGAGCCAGGGCAGTGCTCCAGAGTAGGGGACACCAAGGGGAGCACCACAGTGCTCCAGAGTAGGGGACACCAAGGGGAGCTCTGGCATGCTCTGGGAAATCGGATGCGGCCTTTAGAAAGCATCTTCATCATTTTAAGTGTTGGCCTTCTCAGCATTTTAAAAGCATCATTTCAGATACCAGCTTTCTCCAATGGTGTGCTCCCTGAGGCAGATGACCTTTACCATAACAAAGGGCTAAGCCTGTAGTTCAGACATTGTGGCAAGCCCAGTGCACAGCACCTACTAGGTGCTGGGTGACTATTTGCTGAATGAATGCAAGCATACACTGGACTGTTTGCACTTGTCCGCCCTCACTGCCCCTTTGCCCTCTGCTTCCTGGGCTTCTGGGTCTGCCTCCAGGGGTGGCCTCATGTGGGCCAACAACCCTGGGAGGGGAAAGGACAGTTGAGGGGTAGTGCCTTATTAGAAAGCTCTGAGAAATTTGCTTTATTGATCTTCTTCACTGGAATTTATCTAGGAGGTTACCCTTTGCCACAATTAATTAAATTAATTAATCCACGCCCCACCCCCACCCCTTTGCCTTACTTTATTTGTAAGTTCTACTCTTTTAAAAATTCTCTTCAGCGCTCTTGGTGGAGTTTTATCTCATTAATGGGTAGTCACCCAGATATTGATTTTTAAACTGTCAATTTGATAAATTTTGCCTTCCCTTTCCCCCTCTATCCTTGGTACTTTTTTATTCTTTCTTCTCTGTAAGGATGTGTAGGGCCTGCAGATCTCCTCGCATCGTCATAGTGAGCTGAGTCATATTCTGTTGCTGAGGACAACATAAACTCTAGTTATGCAGGCTTTAACATGTGCCTAGTTAGGGGCAGACTCTCCAAAAATGGAAAGGGAGTTGCACCAGCCCCATCAGCCAAGCCTTCCCCAGCCGCCCTTATGCTGGCTTGCCCGATGTTTGCTGCCCTTGGCTGTACTGACCAGAACACCAGGGAAAACCCAAGTAGCAGGTCTACCGTCTTCACTGTGTGTATCCAGTTGGAGCGTCATCGATGGCCTGTCTTCTAGAGGGCTGGTAGACAGATAGGCAGTGCCCCTTTACCAACCTGGGTGCCTCACGTCTGATTTTGTTGTGAGACCACAGTAAATATTCCTTCTGCTTTCCTGAAACAGCTTTCTTCTGGCCAGTACAGAGCTAGGGTGTGGAAAAGAAGCTGGGGATGCTGGATATCAGGCTGCCCTGCCTCTTCTCTCTCCCCATCACAAACAGTTTGTGTTGCTTTACTTTCGGTTTCCCATTAGACTTAGTGAGCTGGATAAGACCCTAGCAATGTAATCTTGGGAAAGGAAGGAAGAAGCCGAGCAAATATTATAGTCCGACAGCCTATGGGAGAGAAGAGTCCTGCCCCTGCCCAGTGTAACCCCATTATTGAGGCAGAGATTTGGGCAGGATGGTGCTTCGAGATGAGAGAATGGAGTCACTGCACGCAGTTGGTGCGGTGGGACTAGAGTTGAAAAGCCCCATTGACCATTCTTCTTGGTTCCTCTGCCCCCTGCTGTTAAGCCTTTCCAACCTTTTAGGCTTTCTATCTTATCTTCCTTCCTAAAGTCCCTGTTCTATCTCATCCCCAGTTGGTAGCAGTGACTTGCAGCAAGGTAAAGGCTGCTTGGGGCTTCTTCACCATGGAGGTCCCAGTCCCATTGGGACAGGAACTCCTGACACTGCCCTATGTGATAAGGGGCAGCGAGGTTCTCTTGTTTGAACGCTCTTGAGAAACACTGCAGTTCAAGTGCAAAGGCTGGGGCTCGCTGTCCTAACTGATAGGGCTCGGTTTTACTCAGCTGATGGCAAAGTAGTGCTGTATTGCCCCAACCCCCACTTCCCCCCTTCTGGGGTGGGGCAGGAGACAGCTCTAGGGTCTCTTCTGTTAACTTTCTTGTGTTAAGCTGGTGTTAAGATGGAGCCTCTGACCCTCTTTGGCTTTTTAAAATTTAAACTCTTGGATAATATTTAGAGATGCAAAATGTGATGGTTCCTCCCATAGAGGGAAGAATAGGTTGTTGATGCCTTTGTGAGGGGAATCCCAGTGTCATTGGCTCTTGGCTGCCCACAGTGATCATGGACACAGCTTTTTCACAGTGTGGGGCAGGGGAGAAGTGGTCAAAAGAGTTCACTGGAGAAATGGAATTACAAGATACTGGAATTTTCCCATTAACTTTTCGAACCCCCCTCGTGTAGGCTCATTGCTATTTAAGAGTAGAGACTGTTCCCTGCAGACGCCTGTTAAAGCAGCTTTGTCGCTGTGCCCTTTGCTGCTGTGGAGTCCGTGCTGAATTATAGTGACTTTATGTACAACAGAATGAAATACAGCCATTCCTATGTTTGACATGGAGTAATGGTTACCATGTGGTAGACAATGACAAAACACACAAACACACACACACACACCTTAACACAGCATTTCTCCACTTGTCACAGGGATCACCCGAATCATAATAGGAGCAAAATGACAATTATGAAGTAGCAACGAAAATAATTTTATGCTTGGGGGTCACCACAACATGAGGAACTGTATTAAAGGGTCGCATCATTAGGAAGGTTGAGAACCACTGTCTTAACAACATTAATGACTCAGTGCTTCTTCCTTATCAGCTCCCGTGTGAAGCACTTTTCACATAATAGTTACTTAATCTGTGGGAGCAGCCTTTGAAGTATTTCCATTCTGCAAATGAGGAAATAAGTCTAGAAGAGTCTAGTTGCCTGGCTAGCATTTGAATACACATCTGTCTAACTCTAAAATCCACACTTTCACTTCGCTCTTTTGCCTTACCGGGTCACCAAAATCAGCCTACCGTTGTTTGGTTGTTTTTTGTTTAACCTCTAAGTAATGATTTAATGACTATAAGCAAGACAGAGCAATAGAATCGTGCTGCTTTTACCGACTGGGGCCAGTGACGTGCTTAGCTTCTATCTTCCCATACAAACGTGAAACAATATTCTTAAAGCTGAAACACCTACCCAGCGAACTGATGGGTGATAAAAACACCACGTTTGACCAAACCGGAACATAAACTGAAAATTGTTGGTGGCATACATTTTTAAATTTCAACATGCTCACTCCATTAGAGAAAAAAACAAAACCCAAACACAAAAACCTGTAGAAGCTTAGAATTTAGCACACCCTTTTCTACAATCACTTCCTTGCAAGAGTTTCTTCAGAAACCTCATAATCACTGTCACGGCTCCATCCTCCCCACCACGCCCAGCCCGTCCTCCTGCCCAAAGGCTCGCAAGAGCACAGACCTTTCTGGAGACAGGCTAAGGCCAGTTACAGTTTCCCCTGACCTTTAGCAAAAGACTTGTAGATTAGAGAAAGGACCATGTTTCCTTGCCATTTTCCTAGAGCCCATGAATTTGTACTCTCAGGTATTTACTGGTTGACAAGGTCAAGTTTAAAATGAAGATTAGAGTTCTGGGACTTAAGCAGCTATAGTTATAGTGAAATGGAATTCAAGGTATCTTCTAAGTGGTGAGACTTTCACATTCAGAAAGCTGGAGATCTTAGTTGGCTTTTTAGAA